TTACCATGCCACTATGACTATCAGACCAACAAACAACACACCGTCTTACCATTCCACCATCAGACCCACAAAAACCACAACGCCAACAAAAAACACATGGACTCACCATGCCACTGAAGAGGGCGCAGGCTGCCACAATGAATAGAAGGTTGAAGATCGAGGACCCGACGATTGTTCCCAGTCCCACGTCTGACCGCGCGAGGAACACACCTGGCGGGGTCAAATGGTTAGGGGGGGGGGTCAAAGTTGGGCTGGGTAGAGTTACGTTTAAGAAAGAGTTTCACCACACTTGCAATACTAAATATCATGTCATCTACGTGCAGAAGAGTTGAGTTGTTACTAGAGAGTAACATGCAAAGAAAGGAAGGTGGAAAGATACGGACGATAAATGTTTGATAGGAAAGAAGGAGCCAACAGCAACCAAGCAACGGCAACCACCCTGTTTGTTTATGCGTTTGGAACAACAACAGCAAAAAGATAAAAGGGTAAAGGAAAAAAAACATGTTGCTTTTGTAAAATAGAAAACGTATTGCTTTTCTTTTGGAGCATATGAAAGAAGTCCAGGTATTTAGTTTTAGTACAGGTTTTACGGCGCTCGCAACTGAGTCCAGATCTGAGGGGAGGAAGTAATGCTTATGGATCAGCTTTGAATACCAAGAAAGACAGAGACAGACACCCTTAGGTTTCTCAACAACCTCTGATGTGACTGTCTGTGTCAGCCTCACCAATGATGTACACAACTCTGTCTGTGTCAGACTCACCAATGATGGATGTACACAACTCTGGCGCTGAACTGGCTGCAGCCATGAACGTCGCCCCGGCCACATCCGCCTGTAACGCCAAGTCTGCGAACAGACACAATAACAATAAAAAAATTTAGTTCAGTTTTTGTAACAGGTTTTGTTGGGGGGGGGGGGGTGGTAAGAGTTTTTGCAGCAGTTGCAACACAAAAAGATCATTACAAGTGCCAAAGTCTAGAGGTGTTACAAGTGAGTAACAAAAAAAACCCACAACCCCAAACAAACTGAAAAGAAGTAGGAGAGATCAGGACGATAGACGTTTGTAAGGAGAGAAGGAGTACACCACACCAGAGCACCCACAAACCACCAAAAGGTAAGAGTTTTACGGCACTTGCAACACAGTAATGTTATATAAGTGTGGACGATTAGAGGTATTACGGGAGATTGAAATGATGAAGTGGTAAAGGTTTCATGCCTCTAACAGAACCATTAGGTTATTTAAGAGGCAGGGCCTTCGACTTTCAAGTCCTTCTTCGAAAGAATCGAGCCAAGTGAAGAAAGTCGTGTAAATTGCTTCTTCCCATGGACACAACGTCGGACCGAGTTGAGGCTCGAACCCCCGAACCCACAATCTCACGATTATGGGTCAAGTAGCCTAACCACTTGGCTACCCACTCCCCTTACAAGAGAGTAACAAACATAAAAAAGAAGGAGGGAGATATAAGGAGGATAGATGTTTGATACGAAAGAAGAAGCAAAATATAACACTCAAGCACCCAATAACCACACACATTTTTTGAGCTGTGAACAAGGGTCATTTAGCGCTGGGAAAATGTAAGACAGACAGATAGATAGGCAGACAGATAGACGGCAACAACAGATAGAAAGAAAAAGAAGTAGGACCTAGCAGTCAGAGAGTGCCACCCTCCAACCTCCCTGACGATCCAGGCCTAGCTCTCACCTTCACAGATGTGCTCGAGCGAGGGCACGAAGTAGTTGTCACAGACCTGGGCGATGGCCGCGAACATGTAGAAGGAGATGACCAGATGGACCACCCAGCCGCCCTCTTCCGTGAACTTTTTGGGAACGAAGTTGGGCGGGAAATGATGGATGCTGGACTGCATGCACTGGGCCCCATCTCCACCTTTGGACACGAGTTGTAGTTTTCATTTTTTAGAAAGGGTTTTCGGCGCTCGTAACTGCATATTATTATGCTCATATGAGGACCAAGGGGTGGATGTCAACAGAGAAGTCTAAACGGGAATTTAGGGGTGTGTTTTTTTTTGGGGGGGG